GTGCATAAAGGCGATAGACTGTAAGCAACCTGTGCTTGGAGCAGAGTTCTTTCGATGGACGGTGACGTCTCGTTGTTACTTGTGGTCGCATCATCAGCCGTTGTCGAAATAGCGGCACTGAGACCAAGATGAGCGGCGGCTGCAGCTGCATATGGAGAAAAATTAGGATCGCTAAGCTGCGGCAGGCGGAACTGTGGTGCCAACAATCCCAAAGCTGCAGCGGCCGCAGCCGCTGGTGAGAGTACATTGAAAGCGGCTGGCAGAAAGCCGGCAGCAGCGGCGGCCATCTGCATTTGTATAAGTAATAGATCCAGAGAGTGATGTGAAGATGGTGGTGAGTGAGTACTTGATCCCAGCGAAGCCGATGGTAAATCCATGGTGCTGATCGGCGAAAATGCCGAGAAGTGATGCGTCACTGATGACGCCCCGTTTTGCTGTTGCTGTAACAGGAAACTGCGCTGCTGCTGTTGCTGCTGCTGTTGTTGTAGACAGGATTGCACTTGTGGAGGAAGGAGTGAATAGATCCGTTCACTGTCCAGAACTGCTGGAAGGCATGATGGCGTAACGGTCGACGTAGCGGACGAGGCAGGTCCGGCAGGAGCAGCTAGCTGATTGTTTTGCTGGTGCTGCAGCTGGCTTTGTAACTGAGCAGCAAAGCATGCAGTTTGGAATGCAACTGGATCGAAAAGTTGAGAAGCTGCTACTGAGGCTGCGCTTCCGACTGTACTCACTGCAGCTGGAAGCGTTGCTGAGGTGGATGCAGGCACTTTGTTTGAGTCCATGAATAACTCCTCCTCTAACAGTGCCACCTGCACATAGCTTCTTTGTCCTAAAAATCATAGCATGCACTTCTTGACAATATTCTAAATGGACGCGAAAAAAAAATGCGCATAACGGCCTGACGCTTACTTTTCAATGCAGACAGAAGGCGCCGTCTTTGTAGTGCAAGCACCCTCGACCTTTGCACTAGCGAGCAGATGCGATACTTGGCTCTTTTGAAACTTATGATACCTTGGACACCTGGATTCGCTATACTAGAGCCCCAAGAACCCTGCCAGCGGTTGGTTATTCTAAACAGAACGTGCGCTCACTTGGTTCCCTTCCGATATCTCCGTCTGTCAGAGGGTCAAGTCAAGTGTTGAGGTCTGTTTT